TCTCCTCTTCCCTCCCAAATAGGTTTTTAAGTGACTTTACTGTCAAAAGATGCTATTCTGTTTGTTTTTCCTTCTGACACTATCTCTCCAGAGAGTTTCTGGTTAAGAGAATTATGTCGAGGCTGCATATTGCAAGAGAATTGAGCCTAATAGGGACCAGACAGACAAGACACCTTTCATGTCCAGCCAAGTTTTTTTTTTTTTTTGTCCCTCCTCTTTCTCTCTCTCCCACTTCTCATCTTCCCTTTTTGGCTTCAAAGTTGGCCCCAGTTGGTGCTTGTTTCTTCAGTACATCTGGTGAATAAGGTCACACATTGCTTTTATTTTGGAGATTGGCAGCTGGGTCAGACTTAGCTCTGAAGCTGAGAGTGGCACAGCTGGGACGGGGGGCGGTGTGTTAGACAGAGTCTGGAACCCTCAAGAGCGAATGGAGCCGTTCAGGAAGGCGCCACGGTACTCAAAGAGTGGCTTCTGTTCCCTTGAGATCTCAGAGCTCAGGAGCATGAGCTTATAAATACAAGGAAGGAGCCAAAAGCCCCTGTCCCTCCTCCCATATGTCATTTCAGCTGATCTGTGCTGGATTTTATAGGAAAGAAAAGTGTAAGCTCTGAGGGCCTTTGGGAACTCAAAGTGATCATAGAAGAGGAACTTCGTTTAAAGCATCTCTCTCTCCCTTGTAAGTGGCCGTTTAGCCACACAAAGCCGTAGCCTGTACACGTGGATGCAAACATGGAAAGGAAAGCCCTTTTCTCTACCTACGTGCTTCTCGAGGGGAGGGCAGACTAGCAGAACATTTTGGTGGACAGTTTGGATTCCTTGGCTCTTAGTCATGAGGCTGATGTAATAGCCTTCAACTAATTTCATGGTCGACAGTCACAGTTCGCAGAGAAATCATTCCCAATTGCACTGCTGACGACATCCCACCCTTCTCACAGCCCTTCAGGACTTGGTGGGTGAGTCTTTCTTTTTTAAAAGCTTTGGTAGGAAGCGCAGGGCCGCTTCTTTCCTGAAGGTCAAAGATGAATTGGATTTTAGAATGCGCCATCTGATCTCCTCATTCCTCCTGTGTCTAGAGCTGGAGGGAGCAGAATTCACTCCCCTTCCAGCTCCAGGGGAGAAGGGCACAGCTTTGCGCTCTGTGCCCCACAGCCTGTGGACAGTCTGAATCAAGAGGAATGCCCATGTTGGGAACTGGGGTGACAAACGGTAGGCCAAGCCCATGGCGGCTGCGTCTGACTCTCCCTTCTCACTCCTACTGCTTATGGTTTCAAAGTTTGTTCTGCATTAGGTAAGATGTGTCAATTTTCAACAATTACAATAGACTAAAAAATGCATTTCTTTTCTGACAGTAAGACACTTTTTTATTTCCTGCAACAGTCTCTCACTATGTTGCCTTTGGTAGAGTGCTGTGGTGTCACAGCTCATGGTAACCTCGAACTCTTGGGCCTAGGCAATTCTCTTGCCTCAGCCTCCCACGTAGCTGGGACTACAGGCGCCCACCACAACGCCTGGCTATTTTTTGTTGCTGTTGTCATTGTTGTTTAGCTGGTCCAGGCTGGGTTTGAACCCGCCAGCCTTGGTGTATGCCACTGGTGCCATAACCACTGTGTGACAGGCGCTGAGCCCAGTAGGTCTCTTTTTAAGTTAAAGGTGCTAATCTCAAATAATGATTAAAGTCAGACAGAAGATGCCAGAACAGTGTAGTGACCCAGCTCTGGACCTGATCAAGAGTCCTGAGTTTATTTCTTGCTTGGTCACTAGTTCTGACCTCAAAGGAAAGCATCTAACCTTCTCTGGGCATCAGGGTCCCTGTCCACAAGAGAATACTGCCAAATAGCCTAAACTACCCCACCAGCTGTCATGAGGGTGACATGAGAGGATGTGGGGGACAGTGCTTTCTGTGCCATCATGTTTTTTCTTTTTTTGAGACAGAGCCTCAAGCTATCCCCCTGGGCAGAGTGCTGTGGCACCACAGCTCACAGCAACCTCCAACTCCTGGGCTCAAGCGAGTCTCCTGCCTCAGCCTCCCAAGCAGCTGGGACCACAGGCACCCACCACAACGCCCAGCTATTTTCTTGGTTGCAGCCATCATTGTTGTTTGGCAGGCCCGGGCTGGATTCGAACCGGCCACCTTAGGTGTATGTGGCTAGCGCCTCAGCCACTTAAGCCACAGGCGCCGAGCCCCATCATGTTTTTAAAAAAGGTGGAGGAGGGGGACAAAATTTGAGAACTAAAAGGTTGCTTGAAGAAATGTGATAGGATCTATGAGGAACCTCCCAAGAGAACAACGCCTTGATGGATTATTTGGAGGCTTCTGAATGTCTCAAAACCTCCTGGGGCAGGCCTGTGCCCAGGTCACAGAGAGAGTGCCGGACTGCATGGTGGGTCTGCCTGGAGAGAGCTATTTTAACTCTGGAAAACTGCTCTGATGACTACCTGGGAGAAATTCAACCTGCTGCTCATCCTATGTAACAAAACACAAAGTCACAACCTGGCTCAATTTTATCTGTGCAAAAGGTCTTGTCCCACTGTGGATACACGGGCAGACTTTGGTTCCTCCCCTTATGTGGATTTGATTCAGCTTTCCCCCAGCTTGCCTCCTTCATTCTTAATTTTCAGGCACATGTTGGAGAGATCTTTATTGCTCAAATTATTTCAGCTCTCCACGAGGAAGCTCAATGTATCTAGCGGCTCTGCAATAGTCACCTCTATCACCTGGGAAAATCACATCCTTTCTGGACTGCATTTCCGCCTACAAAGAATCAGGGAGACTAAATGACCAGGAGTCCCAGGCAGAGCAAAACGCTGACTGGATCGTCAGCACCTGCCCCTCCGGTGAGCCAATGTCGCCATCTAGAGGCAATCCGACAGACTTTCCTGCAGCAAGAAGGAACTTTTATTTTTTTAATTCCTGAAATGCAGACATTTTATTTTCTCACACTTCCCACCAATGGTATGGCTTGGGCTGCATCTGTGACCCAAGGGAAGCCTCCCTCCAAAGCCAGGCTGGCACGCTGCCAAGAAGTGGGCACAGCTGCTTCTGGCTGGCTCAATGCCCCCCTCCTGTTACATTCACTCACTACACCAGATCATAAAAAATAAATCTTTTAATTGCTTTGTAATTGGCACAGATGGTATAATTCAAACTCACATTTTTATTTAATAGACTCTGAAACATCACACTCTAGCTTTGAGCAAAACAGTACAGAAGATAAGTCTTACAAAAGTACATTCAGCAGCAGCAGCATGATCTGAAAATTTAAAAGACTGGGGCTTGAAAAAATAACCGAAAAAGCCATCCAGAAGACAACAATCCACAGCAGCCATCTGTCCTGACGACTGGGGAACTGCATTATCTGGGTTTTGCGCATCTTGCTTGTTTACTAACCATCAGGAAGGGCCGCAAAATTCGGGCTTATAAACATGGTGGGAAGCGGTCCGTGTGCTTGGAAAGGGCTCCTCGGGGGAAGGACCATCAATGCCAGGCATTGTGGAAACCATGTGCCTGAGGTGGCTTTGAAGGACTCTTTCATTTCTCAGGAGTAATAAGATTCAATGGTCTTTGATTGAAAAAAATCACCATAAAAAGTATTATGGTGGAAACCATCAAATTCTCATCAATGTAGGTCCCAGAGGAAAACCTCCAAGTTCTGCCCCTTCAGGAGGATGTCAGAGAGGCCCCAGTCCTATTTACATCACCCCGTAACCTCAGCATCAAGACCACAGGGTGGCCAGAGACAAAACACTCACATCAGAACAGTTTGCGATTGGGGAACTGACTTGAGATATTCAATTAACTTTGCGATACTGAATTACCTGCACCACCATGCCAAAGTGGAGAGTATCTTCATGTACGTACTGGCTGGGGAGAAAATGGGGGCAGAAATCACCTTGTGAAAGAGCAGCAAGTTAGAGGCTTCTGTAGCCATTAACCAGAGAATTCCCATTTTTTTTTTTTGTAGAGATGAGCTCTTCTGTGCTTCTCAGGCTGGCCTCAAACTCCCGGCCAGCAATTCTCCCACCTCCACCTCCCAAAGTGTTGAGATTATAGGTGTGAGCCACTCTGCTCCGCCAAGGAGCTGCCTGTTAAAAGTGAGATGTCGAGGGTCGGCGCCTATAGCTCAACCAGCTAAGGCGCCAGCCACGTACACCTAAGGGGGCGGGTTCGAATCCCCAGCCCGGACCGCCAAAACAACAATGACGGCTGCAACCAAAAAATAGCCGGGCGTTGTGGCGGGCGCCTGT